ACAACGGTGAGAGGCCCACGTACTGCAAAAAAAAAAAAAAGATGCTAATAAAGTACTTTATAAGAACAGGTGTCAAAAAATCCAAAGTCTAAAATAAATTGTTCCTGGGGAAGAAATAATGTGAATATAAATGACCCAGAGCTAATTTGGTATCCTGAAGTTGTTATTCTACATTAATATTAATAAAAGTAATATAACTTTTTTTCTACAGAAATACTCTTATAGTCCTCAATACAGACAACAACAACACCAAGGGATGATTTATCAAACACTGGAAGGCAGGCATAGATTCTTTTTCTGATGCAATATGTATAAAACAGAAAATGTTAATGTTTAAAAATCCACACACAATCCTTTTCACTTTCGTGCAACATCAGACCAATACTGTAGGTAGGTCAGTGCTTGACCAGTGTTCAACAGAACAAAGAATTGTATAAAACTACTCTCCAGAGTCATGCATCAAAAGAAGACAGTGCCACACAGCAAACACAAATACAGAAAATAAAAATAAAAAACAAATCACACACATTTGCATGCTAGCACAGCAGATAGCAAACCCTTTTCTTGCTGAGTAGATTCTTTCTCAGAGAAATAGATGAAGAATAGTCACTGGCCTCCAAATCCTATAATCATCCAATAACATAATAATATTGACACAATTACAGCAAGCAAAAAAATGTGCATTTTTCAAATATTCCCTCCCCCATCCTTTTATCTTTGTCCATCTTCCAGCTCACCGGAATGTACATAAGTAAAGCAAAATAAACAAAGCTCTGAGGAAAAAGTTAAGCTAACTTAACAATTTCTAAATCAGTGGGCTAAAGTAAATTACAAATAATAAATCCTCCATGCAAGAGTATCACTAATTTAAGGAAATAGTTTCTACTTAAAATATCCTAGAAAAAAATCATATAGGAGCATCAATTTTAGGGCTCATAACTTAAAATTTTTTTAAATTGAGAAAAAGTCATAGATTTTTGGTCCTAATGTAAAACAGCCCTTATAATACATTGATGTATAAAATATACTGATGTATAATATACTGATAAATCTCTAAATATAAATATCAATAAATCTCTATGCAACTTGGTTCAAATTATCTTAATATAAATAAAATTGTTCATGTTTCAGATTACATGCCATACCTGTTTACGGTCTAAAGTGTGTTAATAGAGAATTGAAGAAAATGATATTACTTACAACCCAATTACTATTTATCTTACTTTCAGATTCTGAATATAGTATTTTTTTGTTATTTACTAATGTAAATGCTGAGATAGTCTCAAAAATATTATGAATATTATTTTTGCTTGGTATCTATGAATGACTACAGTTTGTGTAAGCTACCACCAAATAGATTCAGTTCATCCCCTTTTTTACTCTTATAAAAAATGTTTCAATGGACATTCTATTGCTTATCTCTACTTACTTCCTTCAAATAAACTTTTAGAAGTAGAACAATTTGATAAAAAGATAGGAGCACTTCTTAGATCTTACACAATGTCAAACTGCCCTCCAAAGAAGGCATGCCAACTTCCAGGTTTTTTTCAGCAATGTATAGAAGATCCCACTTCCCTCTGTACTCAGCACTAAATATACAATTGTTAATCCGTGCTAATTTTTCATAGTTTTTATTTGCATTTGCCTTATTACTAAGGTGTCAAACATTTTTATCTCTGTTTTGGGCTTTTATAAGTCTTTTATCAATAAGCTGTTCATGATATTTATCTATTTTTCTATTGTCTCACTTCTGAAACACTATTCTGAGGTATTAGTAAACTTATAATCCAAGAACTGACATTTGACAGAGGAAAAATTCTCTCTCAAGAATGTCTTAGAAGATAAATGGAAGGTTACACTCTGTATGTGATCGCGTCATGCGGCATAGAAAGTTATCTGCCAAGAATCAAAACGACAAGCACGAGAGAAGCATATGGAATAAGATGCTGTCTATACTCCCTAGTTCATCCCTGGCATCCCTTCCCCACCCACTGAGATTTCTTGTCATTAGCTGCTGTGGAAAGAGAACAGATAGAGTGAGTCATGAATTAAGATCCTCCCGCAAATAATCGTACAAAAAAAGCACTGCAAAAGAGGGTAACGTATCAGTTGCCACAAAGATAAGAATGCTTTATGCAGGCGAAGACCTTTGAAGAGCTAAAGACAGAAGCCTCTTGATACACATTCAGTACAATGATCTACTTTATCATTCATTCAAACAGATTTTTCCCCTTCATCAGGGCATCTTGTCCTTTTATTTGGTGTTCAAAACACTAGGACACAAAGGATGCTCTTCATCTTGTGTGCTACTGAAATGAAATCTTGAGGTAGGGAAAAAAGAAAAAACCCTTGCCCTAAATTCCCTTTCAAAAGTGAAGTGTGAAAAGACATCAAGCAGAGTACACAGTATTATTGTTGCAAGAAAGTCAATTCTGCAAGTGCAGCGGCTCAATCACTTCCTCACTCACAAGTGAATAATAAGAAAAATCCAAGGAGAATGGGTTCCACCTGGGGAAATGGAATTTCTCATTGGGCTTCCTCCTGATTATCATTAACATCTATGGGTACAGCTGTTTCCTTTCTCTGAATAATCGTGAAGTCAATGCTATAGTATTGGCTCCCTTCTTCCATCTCCACAGGGCCTATTGTACATCACCTCATGCCCTATTCTGAGCAGCAGAAATTTCAAATTTATATTTTCATTGAGTAGCAAACTAGAAAGCCTAACTATTTGATTTAGTTTGGTACTGAGAGGATTCAAAATTATTTAAAAAATTTATAGCCTTGAAAATTTGGTCTTATTAAACCTTCTTGGCTATATAAATACATTTTAATTGCAAGGTATAAGTGAAGTTATACTGTAGAAGGTAACCAGAATCAAAGATATTTTAACAAAATACTCAACAGTTATGACATATAAATTATCATGTATTTAATTTCTATATAAAAATCTCTTGTTTATAAAGTCAGCTTTTTTCAAACAGGGTGAAGAACTCGACCATCTAAAAATTCTTCATGACATAATTTTATATGCTACAGAGTATGTATTTATATACCAGGACCATTGTTACATGAGCTGCTTTATGCTTTATTGTTTCAAAATAAAATGTATTATTTATTACCTGAATGGGGTTTTAAAAAGCCATTCAAGCTTCTTGGAGTCCAACTGAAAGTTTGGTTAGTTCAATTAACAAAAGAACTTATGAATAGTAAGAAAATTGAGACAAGACCATATTTACATTCAGAGCTCCTAGTAATCCACTTGGCCTACAGTAGTCACTGAAAAAATGCTTTTTTTAATGGAAACCTGTGTAGTAAACAAATTAACAAAAAATAAAGCAGTTTCCCCATGTGGCAGTTCTTCAGCAATGCAGGGGCACTCCAGAATTTTAAATCATGATGTTATTTGTCCACACATAAAGAGTGTGCTTCTTGTGACTAATACTTGAGTTTTTAAAATTTATATATAAAGTGTGTGTGTGTGTGTGTGTGTGTGTGTGTGTGTGTGTAGACACACACACACAGACATTTACTAGATCTTTCAAGGGTTTTTTTCCCAACTCATCCATGCACATAAACCTATAAACATGAAAGTTAAAATCTATTTGTAAAATTACCACTGCACTGAAAAAGAATTATATCCATACATATCTTCCACCAACTTTTTTTTACTTTGACGTGAGGAAATGGTAAGAACACTCAAAGCTCACATATACAATGAGCATTCATAGAGCACACTGTTGTATACAGTATATGCTTCTGTGCAATCCTTCTGGTTAAATTTTTCTTTCAGGTATAAAATGTTCTCCTAGTCTAAGTTCATGTTATTCTCTTCTCTGCTGGGAGACTTCTCAGAAATTTGATGACAGTATTTCCATGTCACATCAACTCCTCTTAGTACAAATACAAGTTTCCTTAAGCACATAAAATGAGTAAGACTTTAGCTGCTCTACCATCAATTTCCTAGGTT